TCGGAATGTCTCGCCCCCGCCACCTCCGCCGCTCCCCCGCAAGACACGCCGCCGCCCGCCCGCCTCCTCGACCTCCCCACTGAGCTCCTCGTGCGCGTCGTCTCTCGCTGCGACGGCCCCGTCGACATCGCTCGCGTCGCGGCCGTCTCGCTGCTCTTCCACGCCTCACTCGCGGTGGAGGGCATCCGCTTGTGGTCGCGAGAGCGCAGCTTCGAGCTTCCGGCGCTGCCAGAGGGCGAGAGCTGCGCCGTGCCTTGGCTGTGCGGCTCGGAACCGGAGGGCGAGGAGGAGGACGAGGACGAAGCGCAGGCTCCAGGCCTTCTCGGCCATGGCGAGGGCGTGACGCAGCTCAACACGCCGACCCGCCTCCCCTCCCCGCTGGGTGGTGAGCGCGCCGTGAGCGTGTCGGCTGGGTGGCAGCACAGCCTCGCCCTCTCCGCCGACGGCGGTGTCTGGAGCTGGGGCGATGGAGGCTGGGGCCGGCTGGGCCACGGCGACTGGGAGACCCAGCTGCTGCCGAAGAAGATCGAGGTCTTTGCTGGCCACCGCGTCGTCGCTGTCTCGGCTGGAGCAGCCCACAGCCTCGCCATCGCCGCCGACGGAGCCGTTTGGAGCTGGGGCGGTGGAGGCTTAGGCCAGGTGGGCCACGGCGACGGGCAGCGCCAGCTGCTGCCCAAGAAGATCGAGGCCTTTGCCGGCCACCGCGTCGTCGCTGTGTCGGCTGGACGCAGCCACAGCCTCGCCCTCACCGCCGATGGCAGCGTCTGGAGCTGGGGCTTTGGATACTATGCCCAGCTCGGCCACGGCGACCAGCAGAGCGAATATGAGCTTGGGCAGAGCCTGCGGCTGCCGAAGCAGATCGAGGCCTTTGCTGGCCAGCGCGTCATCGCTGTGTCGGCTGGAGAGGACCACGGCCTCGCCATCACCGCCAACGGCAGTGTCTGGAGCTGGGGTGGTGGAGGCTTTGGCGAGCTGGGCCACGGCGACTGGCAGAGCCAGCTGCTGCCCAAGAAGATTGAGGCCTTTTCCGCCCACCGCGTCGTCGCTGTGTCGGCTGGAGGCCACCACAGCCTCGCCATCACCGCCAACGGCGCCGTCTGGAGCTGGGGCGATGGGTACAAGCTGGGCCACGGCGACGAGCAGAACCAGCTGCTGCCGAAGCAGATCGAGGCCTTTGCTGACCAGCGTGCCGTCGCTGTCTCGGCTGGAGGCGACCACAGCCTCGCCCTCATCGCCGACGGCTCCGTCTTTGCTTGGGGCAAGGGCGGCCACGGCTGCCTAGGCCACGGAGAGGACCTGTCGAACCAGCTGCTGCCCAAGAAAATTAAGTAGACTAGTTAGTAGAGGCGCACATGTAATTGTAAAGGCGAGGCGCCGGCTTTAGGGATGGCTCTCTGCTCGGCTGTGTAATTACACACCGTCTATACGCACGGAGTAATCGAGATCTCTGCGAGAGAGTAGTAGATCGCAGACAGTAGATCGCAGACGCGGGCAGACCAGGAGTGGAGATGAGCGATTCTAAGATCAGGTCTGGCACCTCCCCACTGGAAACGAACATCTGAGTTTCAAATCTAAAGATATATTGCTCCCCCGTTGTCCGCCGTTTACCCGTGACCAGCGGAATTCGCGGACCCGAGGAGTCTCGAGCTTCAGCTGGCGAACCATCATGCCGCTCTCGGCACAGCAGCGGCGCGAGCGCCGCGCCGCGAAGCGCGCTGCCGAGGCTCAGGACGCGGCTCGCGGGCAGCGCAACCGCCCGGCGCCGAGCCGGTGCTAGGCCGCCTCCGCTGCGCCTGCTTCCTTGCGCGCCGCTGGACGTCGGCCGAGAAGACCGCTTCCCTCTGGGGACCCGACTCCGCGAAGATCGCGCGCGCGTCGTCAGTGGCGGCGCGCGCGCGATCTCCGTTCCCGGGCACGCCGGTCGCATTGGCATGGGCTCCCAGGCTCAAAAGCGCTCCCGCCAACAGCGAGCGAGCGCCGCCGCTGCTCCTCCTCCCGCCGCCGCTCACCGAGACTCGGTGCCGCCGTTCGCCGCCGCCGCCGCCGCCGCCGCCGCCGCGGCCTCGCGCCTCGCCTCCGTCACCGCCGCCCTCCATCTCGCAGCGGCGCGTCCCTCTGATGGCGCGGGCGCCTCGCTCACCGGCGCCTCGCCGCCCCCCCCCCCCTTCTCGCGCCGCTCCGCTCGTGGCCGCCGCCTCCCCTGTCAATCCCGCCGCCTCCCCTGTCATCCCGCCGCCCGCACCACCGCCGCCACCGCCTCGCGCCTCGCCGCCGCCGCCACCGACCGCCCTCCCCTGCGCCGCTGAGCGCGGTGCAGGGGGTGAGCCCCCGCTGCGCAGCCTCACCGCAGTGCACTGCGCTCTCCGCGCCCCTGACGATTAGTGAGGAGGTGGTGTTGCACAGCATGGAGCTCGGCGAGCGTTTAGCGAGCCCCGCAGCTAGTCTCGAATAAATCTCGAAACACACTTGAATGCTCACTTGGCAGGTAACATATGCGCCACGCGCCCCAACCGCTCCTCTGGTCGCCGCCGGCCTCCGCGGCGGCGGCGATGTCCCAGCGCCACCCATCGGCCAGCCCTCAGATCGATCGATCGGCGCTCAAAGTCGGCTTCAGATCCGAGAACGCTGCTGGCGCCGCCGCCGATCCCAGCGGCGACGCCAGCAGCTTCCTCTGCTCTCCAATGCGCCGAGAAGCGACGCGGGGGTGCTCGGCCCGCCGTGGACGTCGAAGGCTCCGCCGGGCGCGCGTCGGCCGGTCCGGTGGCACCCTCTGCGCGCGGCACCTGCCGGCGCCCCGACGACAGCCGTCGCGCCACCGCTCATGGAGGGGCGGTCGGCGCCGCTGCCGCCGCGCCGCCGGTGGGAGGGGCACTGGTGGTGGCCTGGGCGGCCCTCCGCCGCCGCTCGGGGCGCCCGGGCAGCGGTGGCAGCCTGCCGCCGCACCACTTCGAAATGCCCGCTGACCACTTCGAAATGCCCGCTCCGATGGCCCGCGCGCTGCGCTATTCTTTTTTCTACAAAGCAAAATTCGAGCCAATTGAGGAAACTCAAGCGGGCAGGCTGGAAGCACTGAGGGACGGCCGATGTTCGCCCAGTGCCAGACCTGATTTTAGAATCGCTCAGATCCTAGCCGATTCTACCGCACAGTCGGGCTTGGTTGAAGACGAAAGATTGAGATCACAGATTGTGGATCGTGTTGGCAGTTGCCAGGGTCAAAGGTGGAGATTGGAGAAGGATAACACAGATCGTAGTTCGTAGATCCTCGCGCCGGGCATCCCCACCGCCGGGGCGGAGATATTGTGGAGATCGAGATTGGAGATTGGAGATCGCAGCTGGCGGCGGCAGGGGTCAAATGGGAGATTGGAGATTGGAGATCGGAGATGTGCGGTGTGAATGAATCCATAGCGCATCTCCTTGAAGGTTCGAGCCCTCCCCCCCCCCCCCCCCGGCCCCCGAATCGAGGATTGGAGATTGGAGATTGGAGATATGGATATCGGAGATCTGACTGGATCCGGCAAAATATGACGCTGGAGATTGGAGATTGGAGATGGAGATCGGAGATGATTTTTTATTTTTATTTTTATTTTTGGCCCGAAGAGCCTGCGGCGCCGGTTTTAACCTCTCCGGCCGACTCGCTGCGCGATTCTCGCTACGGCCCGCGGCGGGGCCGCACCCAGCAAGCTGGGGCCGCTCCTCACGGACTCGGCGCTGACGCGCCTCAAGAAGACCACTACTCGGGCTTGGCTGCGCCGCCCTCGGAGATGTGTCGACGCAAGATTGGAGATGACGCCGCTGTCATCATCTTTTTCTTTTTTGATAATAAAAAGCTCACTACACGCACGGTTCCCCCACACCGTAAAGTTAAAAGCGGCGCCGCAGGCTCTTCGGGCCAAAAAAAATGAAAATAAAAAATCATCTCCGATCTCCATCTCCAATCTCCAAATCTCCAGCGTCATATTTTGCCGGATCCAGTCAGATCTCCGATCTCCATCTCCAATCTCCAATCTCCAACGTCATATTTTGCTTCTCCGATCTTCATCTCCGATCTCCAATCTCCAATCTCGACTTGTGGGGGAGGCGTGTCAGGGGGGGAATCGACGTCCTTCCAAGGGGATGCTCTTTTCCTTTCACGCCTTCAAGCGGATATCCACCCTCTTTTCGCGCCATTTTGCAATCTCCAGTCGGCCACACGATTCTCTAGGCGCCTTTGGCGCGAAGTCAACATCTCCGCCTCCGGCCTGAGATCTCGAGGTGCCGATGGCTCAAGATCTCTACGTTCAGTTAAAGATCTCTGAGTTTTGTGCGAGATGCTGTGTGTGGAAGATCTCTGATCGGCATCTACGATCTCCACTCAACAAATCTACTGGTGTCCCGCAGAGATCTCGATGTATGTACGCACGGCTCTCCGGCCGCCGGGCCGCGCGCTACTACTGTAAGCTCGAAAGCTCAAAATGTACACAGAAGTGAGAAAGTAGAGTGTAGACGCAGCCCTTGTCGTCCGCACCCGCACTAAGACAGTTTGCCGCGGCCGCGAAGCGCGAACCTCTTGCGCGGCGGCGCACGCGCGAGCCCATCAGAGGTGTAGGAGAGGAGAGCGGGCCGCGGCGGGAGCACGCCGGTGCGGGCGCCCGGCCGGCAACTCGCGCTCGCCCGCCGCGAGGGTGCGCCCTTAAAACGAGAGCCGCGCGTGCAGGTGCGGCGTCCGTCCGTCGAACCCACCAATCACACGCGTGTGCGGCGTGGCAAACTGGCATATAACATGAACAGTGACAGTGTGTACCCGGTAGGTAGCACAAACACAAAGCATACTTGTGTGCTCAGACCACGACTACACTGTGGGGGGTGCCCGAGCATGATGTATGTGCGCGTCTGTGCGTGTGTGGGACAGACGTTGTTGTCCTATGCGCGGGGCTTCCCGCGGGGACCGAAGACGTAACAGCAGCAGCAGCAGCAGCAGCAGCAGCAGCAGCCCCACAAAAACCCATGGCATGTGCCCACAGCTACGACCCGTACCGCGCCGCACGCTGCCGCATGACCCTGTCCCATCGCAGGCGCCTGCCAAGCTCACGCTCCTCGCTCTCGAGCGCAAGCAGCGCGCTCCGGAGCCGCTGTCGCTCTCGCCGCAGCGCTCGTAGCCGCAGAGCGGTGCGCAGCCGTCGCTGATACCGCAACCTCCGACGGGCAGCCGTCAGCGCCGATGAGAGGGCGCGCACGCGGGAAGGCGGCGCGACGAAGCGCTCGATGCACGTTCGCCCCTCGTACACCTCAATGAAGGGCAGCTGACTGATGCCTCGCTGCCTGGCCCACTCGACGCTTTGTGATTCGCTCAGCTTCAGCTCATAGAAGCTAGCGCGCCGCCATTTGGAGGCGATAAAGCTGAGCTTCGCGTTGGACTGACGGCATGTCCGGCACCACGGGGCGGTGAATTTGACCACAGTCGCGCCCTCAATCGGTAGGGTCTGCACAAGGCCCTCGTAAGCGGCCGGCGAGGTGATCTCCGCGAAGCGAGATGACTTGAGCCGAACCGGCGGCGCTCGACGCGCAGATGGAATGGCGCACCGCGGCAATAATAGGCTGTGCATGTAGACGAGGCAGCAAAACATCATCATGCGTCTGGGTTCGAGACGTGAGGGCGTAGGGTAGGGTGCGATCCGTGCAGACCCCCCTACCCCCTACCCCACGGCACACGTACCTAAAACGGCACACATGCAGACATAGCGCCTACCCCCTACCCCCCAACTCACAGGTCTCCAGGATTGCTGTAAGTGTAACGGTACGTAGTACGGTCGGACGCGGGACGGCGTCAGCCGTCACCTCACACCCCGCCGCCCCTCCGCGCGCCCGCGCACCCCCTACCCCCAGGTGCCTCCAGAAGCCGTAACGTCACCTCACGCTGCCCCTCCGCGCGCCCGCCGCCCGCGTCTCATGCAGCGGACAGGTCCGCCGTCGGTCGTTGTGGATTCGGGCCGAGAACCAGCTAGCTCAGAGTACAGAGAGGCGGGAATGGCTGCAGGGCCCCCTACCCCTGCAGAGCCGCCGGCCTCCCACCCCCTACCCCCCTACCCCAAATCCCGCGATGCGACCCTACCCTTCCCCCCCAAAAGTCGGAACCCTGCGTGCGAAAGGCTTGAGAGTATTTCTCCCAAGTCCCAAGCGCTCCCGTTTAGCTCCCCGCGGTTTTGGATGTGAGGTTGCCGACTGCACTCCAAGTGCTCCAAGTGCTCCAGGCGCCCAATGGGGGTCGAGTTCGCCGTCATCCCCTCCCGATTCGAGGCGGCGTTGCTGGCTCTGTGCTGGCGATGCACAGGTTGCTCCTCTACGCTCTCTGCCATGAACGGCGGTCCCTTCTCGACCGACCCAGTGGTGCAAGAGGGCTACATTTCACCTCTTGCCGGGAGATTTGTTTGTTTTTTTGCTTCCCGATGCGCTGCGACGCAGCCTCATGCCGATGGCCATGGACTCAACCCGTCCTTTGAAGCACAGCGCTAGCCCGGGGCGACCGGAGATGGATGCCTTCGTGCTGCTGTGCCACGTTCGAGACGCATCTCGTTGCCAAAGCGCAAAGGTGGCAGAGCAGTGGCCGTTTGAATCCGCCAAACGAAAAGATGCAATCAAGTGTCAATGGAAAAATGTCCTCAAATTTAAGCTCGACGCTCTTGACGACCTCCGACTGATCTGTGGATCCTGCGACGAGCGCGACGAGGCGGAGTCAGACGCAGCTGAACAAGCACCGAGGTAAGCCTGCAGCCGTGGGTCGAGCGTTGGAATGCGGAGCTCTTCGCACTCTCTAGGGATTGGAGCGATGTCTCGCCACTAGTACCTCTCTTTTCGTACTCTCTGTTTTGTCTTGCGTGACACTTGTTCCGATTTTTAGCAATACCAAGTTTTGACACTTGTGCCTCCACACTGTCCGGTGTGACTCATCGTGTCACGCAAGAAAGAAGTTGTTGTGCGGGTGCCGATGCGGCTCACTTAGTTGTTCGTCGGCGGCTTCCAGCTCTCTTTCTGCCCTTGTTCTGTACTTCGTACTTGGCATATACTCTCGCACGAATGTGTGCTGGGGAGAAAAGAGAAAAAAATCCAACGGCGCCCAGTCCATCCTGAAACGATGTTCGCTTTGCAAAGACCGCCGCCCTTGCCGTCCCCGACTCCTCCTCCGTCGCTTCCACCGCCCCCCCCGGGTCCGCCGCTGGCGATGCGGGGCGATAGAGAGTGCTATCCGACGCTGAAGGCCTGCTACGACGCGATGAGTGGACCCGAGTGGAAGAGCAGCACCGGGGCAAAAGTGGGGGAAACCTGGCTCGACTGGAACATCAAGTGCTGCGATAAGGAGTGGATCTCGTGCAAAAGTGGCTTGATCGACGAGATCATGTTCAAATTTATCCCGAAACTCAAGGGGACTATCCCGCCGCAGCTCGGCCTTCTGACAGCCCTGGAGGAGATTGACGTGAGGAACTGCGACATCACGGGCACGCTGCCGGACACCCTCTTCTCCGGCGATTCTGTCATCGAAGAGGCGATCCGCACCTTCCCTCGAAACCCCCCCTCCCCTCCCCCTCCCCTCCGCCTCCGCCACGTGAGCTCACCCTCACCTCCGCCTGTGCTCGCGCAGAAAGATCGACGCGTCTGCAGTTAGTGTTGCGCACGACACAGGGAGGTCTGACTAGCTGTCGTTTTTATTTACTGGTGCTGACGGAGTTGGGAGCACAACTTGTCACGGCGTGACGTGCCCGCGTCGGCCCGCTAGTGGCCGTCCTCCCGCTGTGAGTGGCCACGTAGCAAACGACGCGGCGAGGTGAAGGAGGGACGGGCCGCGCAGCGAGGCGAGGCGGCGTCGCGGCTCATTGCGGCGGCGACGGGGAGGCCGGGAGGCGATCAGGGCGCTCGAGGCGGGATGAAAGGGCGGTGCGCTATTTTTTTCCTGGTTCAAGAATTCTCGGAAGTATATAGAAATCCTCCCGGACGACGGATTTTATCAAACCGATAGTCCTCAATTAGTCGCGCACCACATACGTCCCTCCGAACTCCTCCGGGATTGACTCCTTGGGCAATCGGTTGAGTAGCCGAGCATAGTCGCCGCCGAGCACCTCGATGCGCTTCTTCGTCTTCTCCTGGCATAGGCAGGAGAAAGCGACATTGTGTTGCTAGACAGAGGAGGAATCGACCCGTCCCTGTGCTCAAGTGCTAGACCCTTTTCCTCGGTGAGGCGGTGGGAGTGCGCCGCGGCTTTGCTCGCCTTTAGGAAGACGCGCACGATGCTCCAGATGACGCTGAAGAAGCCAGGGTTGTCCACGACACGCATCGCCCCTATCAGCACAGACCCTAAGATGTGTTTTTCGCGAGTTCCGACGCACGGGTCGACGGTAAACCCATGTGTTGGGCCAGCGCACCGATACGGATGGGCAGCCGATTCTGCACGGACTCGAGCATCTTGGGCATGAATTTGCGGTTGAACGCTTTGGGCGACATCCCCTTGAGACTGTTGATGGCGCAGAAGCCACACCGCTGCGTCTCTGCATCCTGCAGCAGCGTCTCAATGGTGTACCACATCGCCTCGATCACCTGTTGCTCGTCGACCTTTCTCCAGTCCAGATAGCGCGGCCGCACCAGCAGCAGTTGGCAGCCCTCCTTGTCCCTCGCGCCGTCCAGGATCTTCACAAAGGGACACGTGCGCAGCGTCGCCTCGCACCGCTCCTACGGGAAAGAAGCTCGCAGCTGGAGGATGCGGGAGTCAACGGCACGCCACGGGACAGTGCGTGCGGGAGGAGTCAACGGCACGCCACGGGACAGTGCGTGCGGGAGCAGTCAACGGCACGCCACGGGACAGTGCGTGCGGGAGGAGTCAACGGCACGCCACGGGACAGTGCGTGCGGGAGGAGTCAACGGCACGCCACGGGACAGTGCTGCGTGCGCCTTGTCAAAAGGCCGCTCGCTTCCAAACAGCTTGATGCGGTACTCCCAATACCGCGCGTGCCTCGAGGCGGCCTTTGTGACGTCACCCTTGGCTATGTATAGGAAGCGGCGGAGGAAGGCCTCGTCCTCAATGCAGACACGGTCGCCGCCAGCGACGATGGCCTTTTTGAGCTCCTCGACGAGCCCTGCGTCCTGCATCCACGCGGCCCCGCCGTCCGTCACCTCCGTGTCGTCGATGTCGTCGTCGGCATCTGGCATATATGTGTGTACATGTCTGCTCGCAGCCGGCACGGCAAGTAAGTAGGAAGGACGCACGCCCGACAAAAACTCTGCTCTCTTGGGTTTCTGTTTTCTTTCTTTCTTTCTTTCTTTCTTTCTTCACATAAACGCACAACCCCGGGCTCTTCACACAAAAACACAAAAAGACGGAAAAGGAACAGCGCAGAAGGAGATACTAGAAAATCAACGCTTTAAAGAAAGAAAGAAAGAAAAAAAAGAGACAGCCCAAGGGAGGGCTGGGAGGACCTTCCCGCAGCGCAACCCTAGCAGCGCAGCGGGCAGGGCGGCTCGCGCAGCGCGCGCGATCGCGCAAGCGGCGCGCGCGAGCGAGCGAGCGAGCACACACACATACACACACACACACACACACACACACACACACACACACACACACACGCACGCACGCACGCACCTCCCCAGAAATCCCGAGGAGCCGTGCAGTGCCTAGATAAGTCTGTGTGCTGTGTGGTGCACGCCCTCCGAGCGGGGCGGGGTCTGCCCGTCGGGTTGCTGCCCTAATCCCACCAGGGGTTGACTGCTCTATTTATTTATTTATAGGGATGGGAGGACGGCAAATACGCTTTAACAGACAGAAAACGGACAACCCAAGGGAGGGATGGGAGGACGGCACGCCGCCACCACACAGGGATTTTAATTAAGGAGAGGAGTGTGGTGGGAGAGAGATTTTTAGCAATACCAAACAACTCTAACACTCACACGTAATTTGGGGCCTGGAGCCCTGTTCACGCGCGCGCGAGACGTGCAGACAGGGTTGCCAGGTGAGAGCGAATGGCGCGGTTCACGCCTCGCACAACAGAGAGAGAGATGCGCTCTGCATGGTGGGACATAAAAGAGAGCGAGTACTTGGGCGAGTAGGCTGTGCGGTCAACGCTGCCGCGCGCGACTTTGCGCGCGAGGCGGCGCAGCTTGAGAACGGCGGTGGGCGAGAAGCCGCCGCCGAACGTCTCGTGGAGCAGCAGTTGTTGTGTGGTGGTGCGCTAGCCGTCGCCCACCCTTGGGCGTCCGCCTCTTCCTATCTCTCTTCGCAGTCTCTCTCCGATTCTCGCTGCAACATTCGTGCCACCCCGCGGTCGCCCCCTTGGCAAATACGCTTTACAACAGTGCACAGGCCCCGTTGCTTTTCTTCCCGGCGTGTCATAGTACTCCTTGTGCAGCCTCAAGGTGGTGCTCAAGGTGGTTGCTCTGCCGCCACCGATGGACGCCAAGTCCTCTACCCCGCTCCGCAGCGTGCCGGAGGTGAAGGTCACCTTCGCCGAGGAGGCGCCAGCCGCCAGTCGGGCCGTGCTCGACTGCCGTGTGTCGACTGCTAAGCAGCAGGCCGGCCCTCTGGCTGAGATATGGCGCTCGATTCTTGCTGGCCCGGGCGCCATCGTCAGCCCACTCAAGCTCTACTCGTACGCCACGATCTTCGATTGGCTATTTCTGATTCTGCCGAGCATGTTCTGGGCGGCCGTTGCCGGGCTCTGCTTTCCCGCTCTCCTCTACAGCTTTAGCGGGGCCATCGACCAGGTCGGCTCTGCGAGTGCGTCTGGCTTTGACGTCGAGTCCATGCTGTGGCAGTGCAAGCTGATGATCGCCTCTGGCATCGTGTACGGCGTCACGACCGCATTCTACACCGCCCTTGCCGAGCTCTCAAAGGCGCGCCAGATCGCGGCCACCAAGAAGGCCTACCTCGGCGCGATCCTGCGACAAGACGTTGGCTGGTACGACACCTCCAAGCCCGAGGAGCTCGCGACGCGCTTTGGCGAGGAGATGCGCGCCATAGAGGAGGGCATCAGCTTCAAGACGCCCATGATGCTTGACGCCGCGGTCACCATGGGCGCTTGTTGGCTCCTTGGGCTCTACTTTTCGTGGGACTTGAGCCTCGTCATCTTCGCCGCTTGCCCGCTGCCCGGCATCGCCATCGCCGTCGCCATCGTCGTCGGGCTCGTCGCCAGCCACAAGCTGTCCGTCGCCGGAGCCGACGCAGGCGCCATCGCCACCGAGTCGTTCGCCGCCATCCGCACCGTCTGCTCGCTCGGCCTCGAGCGGGTGGCGGCAGCGCGGTACGAGCGGCGGCTCGCCCGCGCAGAGCGGCTCGGCATCGCCATGGTCTGGCAGCTCGCCCTGGCCGCCGCCGTAGCCATCTCGGCCATCATCTTCATGTCCTCCTTGGGCGAGTTCTACGGCGGCGTCGCTCTCGCCGCCGAGCAGGAGGCCTCGTCCTTCGAGTACACGACCAAGATCAGCTGGTCGACCGAGGCGCAGCTCGACAGCTTCCTTGATACGGTCGACTCGGCGATGGGCAGAGTGGTCAGCCCGCCGCCCCCGCCGCCGCCAGGCATGTTCCCTGAGCTGCAGGAGTTCACCGCAAAGTCGTGGGACGACTTCAGCGGTGCCGCGACCCAGTGGGGGCTGCTCGCTGCCGCCTCGACGGGCACGGCAGTCGGCATCGATCACATCGACTACAAGTTCTGCACCTACTCGTGCGGCGACCCGTACGACATCCTGAACAACGACTACCAGTCCGGGGTCGCCAACTGGAGGGAGTTCCAGCAGACGAGCGGCGAGCCCCTGCCTCGCGCGGCGCGGGTCATCTCGACCTCTACCCCGCAAGCCCTCGGCTCGTGTGAGTCGGACCGCTTCGACCTGCAGCCCTTCAAACTCACTTGCGCCTCCGCCGGTGCCTTTGCGCAAAACATCACCGCGCTCAAGCTCTTCCTCCTGCAGGACGACGTCGCAGCCTTCCAGGAGTACGTCGAGAGCATGGGCTCGTGGCTTTCGTGCTCCCGCTCCGGCGGCCGGTCCCTCATGGCCATTTTCTCTCTCCTGGTCGGGATGGCCTTCTTCATCCTCCTCTCGCAGAACTCGACCGTGGTGCTCAGCGCCTGCCAGCGGGCGGCGCCAGTGCGCGAGACGATCCACCGCAAGCCCCCCATCGACTCGACATCCTCCGAGGTCCGCCGTGCGGCGGCCAACGCAGCTCCGCCTCTTCCGCCTCTCACCCCGCCCCCTTTCCTCAGGGGATTGAGCTCCCGCAAGTCCGCGGCAAGATCTCGGTGCGCGACGTGGTCTTCGCCTACCCTGCGGCCCCCAACCACCTCGTCTGCAACGGGTACTCGCTCGAGATCGAGGCGGGCCAGCGGGTCGCCCTGTGCGGCCCCTCGGGGTCGGGCAAGTCGACGCTCATGGCGCTGCTCGAGCGCTTCTACGACCCGCTGGCGGGCTCGATCGCGCTCGACGGCGTGCCTCTGCGCGAGCTGAACGTGCGCTGGCTGCGGCAGCAGATCGGGCTGGTGGGGCAGGAGCCGGTGCTCTTCGAGGGCACCGTCGCCGAGAACATCGCCTACGGCAAGGAGGGCGCCACGCGAGCGGACGTGGAGGAGGCGGCGCGCAGCGCCAACGCGCACGACTTCATCACGAGCGCGCTGCCGCACGGCTACAACAGCAGCGTCGGCCTGCGCGGCGGCACGCTCTCGGGCGGCCAGAAGCAGCGGATCGCCATCGCGCGCGCCATCGTGCGCAAGCCGGCCATCCTGCTGCTCGACGAGGCGACGTCGGCGCTCGACACGACGAGCGAGCGCATTGTGCAGGCGGCGATCGACGAGATCATGCACCAGCAGAAGCGGACGACGCTCACGATCGCGCACCGGCTGAGCACCATCCGCAACTCGGACAAGATCGCCGTCATCGACGGCGGCCGGGTGGTCGAGCAGGGCACGTGGGACGAGCTGGTTGCCATCGAGGATGGCCACTTCCAGCGGCTCGCGGCTCGGCAGCCCAAGCCGGGGGCGATCGTGTCGCGCTCGGCGACGGGGGACAGCTTGCTCGAGCGGGACAGCTTGCCGTCGAGCCGCCGTCAGTCCATGTGGACCCGCGCGGCGGACGCGCTGGCGCGCAGGAGGAAGGCCGACGACGTTCGTGGCGACGCCAAGTCGCTTGCAGAGGCCGATCGCTTCGACTGGTCCGACAGCAGCGAGTCGCGGATTCCAAGCCCTACGCGCGGCCCGCTCTTGTGGCGCACGATGCGGCTGCAGAAGCCCGGCGACGGCGTGCTCATGGTGCTGGGGTGCTTCTTCGCGGTGCTGGACGGCATGACGATACCGGCCCTCGGCTTCACCTTCTCCAAGGTGGCGGTTGCGTTCTTCCAGATCAACCCGCAGAAAATCCACGACGACGTGCTGTTCTGGGGCATTGCGTGCTTCGCCATCGGAATCGCCTACGTGCCGGTGCTGACGCTCGAGCTAGGCCTTTTCGGCACCGCCGGCGAGCACCTCACCCGCAGGTTGCGCACTGTCGTCATCCGCTCGCTGCTCCGGCAGGAGGTTGGCTTCTTCGACGACCCGCAGAACTCGGCGGGCGCGCTCACCGCCTTCCTGTGGGAGAAGGTTGCGCTCGTGCAGGCGTTCAACTGCCACATGTTTGCCTATGCGATCCGGCAGGTCTCGAGCATCCTCTTCGGCAGCTGGCTCATCTTTACGTTTGGCTACTGGCAGCTGGCGGTCATGATGCTCGCCGTCATGCCCGTGATGACGGCGATGTTCGGGGTGGTGATCATGGTGGCGCTCGGCGTCAGGTCGGCGGACGAGCGGCGGATTAACGTAGGCTCTCTGGTCACCACCGTCGTGCAGTCCGTCCGCACGGTCGCCGCGTACGGTGCCGAGGCCCGCTTCCTTCGCGAGTACAAGGCGGACACCGACGCCGAGGCACGCCAGGCGCAAAAGAAAGCCATCTTCACCGCCCTTGCCATGGGCATCGGCAAGGGGGCGCCCGTCGCTGTGATCGGCATCGTCGCGTACGTCGGATGCCTCCTCGTGCAAGCCGACGTCGAGGAGCTGACTGGCGAGGTCCTGCAGCTGATCCTCGAGCCCGAGGCGGCCACGGGCAGCTCTCCGCTGGTGGCGCCCGACGACGAGACCGGCTGCCTCAACGCCAAGATCTGGACGCTGATGGAGAAGTTCCTCGTGCCAGTCATCGTC